TGCATTGTGGAACGTGGACTTGCATCTCCTCAAGAACATTGCAGGGAAATGTGAATGCTCTCTGAACAGGTGCAACAATTTCTGCCCCTTTATGTTTTGTTTCTAATGCTCATCTTGCTAAGAGTTCAGAGAAGACTGCTCTGAACAGTGATACACAGCTTCTCCTGTCCTCTCTTCTCATCTGCTGTGGCTTCAGCTATCTTGCTGTCTGCCACTAACAGTATCCCCACTTGCAATTTGCTGTTTCTAATCTGTCATCGCAGAAATCAGATGGCCGGAGTTGTTAGAATGCTGTATAAATGAAGAGCCAGGCTCTGAGAGATAGCCAGAGACCCCATCCTTCAGCAATGTTTGCTGCAGGTTTCTTGGCAGCTGTTTCCTTTCTTCTCAGGGTGCACCTTATCTAATCCCCTGGTTTGACAGTCTCAACAAGCTGACCTCCATCTGCAAGAGGTGTTCCTATCATGAGATAACAGCAGAGAACCCTCCAGAATGGAAGGAGGAGACACACACACTAGTGTGTCAGCAAACACTTTCCTTGGGAACCATCAGACTCACAAAACATCTGTATTCTTCTTTTTGAATATTAAATATAAGGGGTGTAACTATACCCATCCCGTTTAACACATAAACTCAAGGACATGTTATATATTAAAATCATAAATTACTTTAAGGATAAGTTATTATGAAACCGATGATACTTACAAAAAAAATTTTTTTTCAGATGTCTGCAAAAACCAACTGCAGGCCAACCTAGCCAGCTGCTTGTTTTTATATAAAATTTTACTGGAACTCAGATTCACTCACCACTTACAATAACAGAATTCAGCAGTTGCAACAGATTTCACAAGCACACATAAATCTGAAATATTTCATATGCGGAAATATCTACGGAAAATGTTTAACTCAAGAACTCAAGAAATGTGTTAATTTTCAAGCAAACAAGGTCTCAAATCCCCACAAAAGAACAAGTTGCTCAATATGGAATTTTTCACTATATAGGTCATAAGCTTAATAGAAGATCTTCAATGACAGTGGCAACAGTGCTATTAAGAACACACAGGAAATTCATTACCTATGTTTTCTGCTATGCAAGTCCATTACTATTAGCAGAAAAGCTCTTGGAATTATTTTAAATGTATTTCTTACAAGAAAAATTAGCTCAGGGCTGAGATTTATTTTGGCATGTATTTTAGGGGGGAAAAAATCAGTATTACATTATCCCTACTGTGTCTCACAGCAATGAGGGTAACAAAGCCGCCCTGAGTTGTCAGTGCCAAATACACTGTGGGAGCTCAAATATTAATCAAAATGACATCTCCAATTTTTTCCCTTCCTAATCAGGCCTAAACATCACAGGACATCCAGCAAATCAATAAGCAAAACTTGATACCCTCATCACTCCCAAACTGGCAGTATTACATTTTTAGCCAGGAGACAAGGGCCCTCAGTGTTACACAAAGACTTGTCTACTTCAAAGGTTTACCTCTTCCATGAGGTAAACAGACCCACCTATGATCCTGTGTGCCACTCTAGCATGCACCTGCCCAACCCACCTGTCAGAGAAACAAAATAAATACCCCTTATCAAGTCAAGATTAAAAATCAGCCTGAGGTATACCACTCTAAAACAAGTATGCACATTCTACAAAAGAAGTTACTAAGTCAGCTGAGAATAGGCTTCAGTGTTTGTGAAAAACGGAAAAGGTCTCATACACCATCATCAACACCTGAAGGTAACTGGCACAGGGACTGGCTCTAGACTCCACCAACTCTCACATTTCATCAAGTCCGCCATTTGGCTCAATGGGAAATTATTATTATTATTGGTTTCAAGCCCTTTCCTTTGCCTTTATTTTTCCCTTTCTCTTTTACCTTAAACTCTCATCCCACCTACTCTCACACTCTCTGATCTCTGGAGTTTCTCCAGTGCTGAAAGATCTGAGAATCAATTCATGTCAATATAAGCATTCTTCATTTATTTACAGAAGGAAGAGCATTTCAGAAACAGAAAAAAAGTGAAAAGGTCTATTCACGCATGGAACAGAGTTTTAGACACTATGCAGAGAACAGGTAAATGCACAACGAGCGGTCAAAAGCCTAGAATTCAGCAGAAAACACACAGTCCTGCACCTGAGAAGCTGAGATATCACTTGTGCAATCCAAAAACCCCTGGGAAAATACAGAAGCGAAAGCTAGGAATCTACTTATAGTACAGCAGCCACATTCTAGGAGCCATCACCACTGGTCAATGTTAAGGTGAACTCATCTACACTTGAACCACCCAGGCCAAAGGTCCTTTAAGCTAGTTCACTTATTAGTCCATTCATCATTCATTCATGTATTTGTGTGTCAGGCACATTACAGAACAGATAAATTCTATACCATCACAGAGCTCTTTTTCAGCCCAATTTGGTCACATTTAGTATTCTTCCCTCCCACTACTTAATGAAAATGTAAATAGAAATGTTTCCTAATCCTTGATTGGTCCACCTTTATAAGAAAGGGTAAAATAGAAATCACATATGGTAAAACAAATGAAAGTATATTAGTCAGTTGAATCCTTCTTAACATAGAAAAAGATCATTAAAGTTTAAAGCAAAGCAATTAAAGGCAAACCACAACAAAACCAATACTGAACACAAAATGAAAAGGGACTAAAAGGAATAACAGATGCTTGTTCAAAAATCACAAGTTAAGGAAAGTTGGGCCATCAAGCCACCTTCATAGGGTGTGGTGAGATTCACATTATGTGGTATTGGAACTATTCTTTGAAAGCACAAAGGGGAACATTATCAACATGAAAGCATTGACACAATTACAGGCAACATAACCAAACATAATATGCTTCATCTTAGATCAAGCTTGTTTAGGAACTATTAATGTGGTGAACAGATCAACAACCTGGTTAGCAACAAACTTACACGCACTAAATTTGACACTTGGCAGCATATACATGGATGTCATTTGAGATGGCAAATCTAAAACAAAAATCTTACTAGGAAACAAAATCAATAGCCAACTATAGGAAATCCCTAAATTAAAGTATGGTATGTCCTTCATGACCATGACACCAGCTGGTGTCCATCTGCTAACCACATCAAGCTTTTCTATCCTCTGTGAACTGTCTGTACACAGAGAAGCTGATGTCCACAGCTGACCAGCCTCACCCTCGAATTTAATTGTGTCAAAACCACAGAGGTGACTGTGGGAGGAGAAATATCTCTGCTCCACTCTAAACCACTGGCTGGACTTGCTGCTTTGTTTTGTTTTGTTGTTTTGCTTTTTTGCGACTTCACCGATGTTTTCAACTCACACTGGATTTCAGTAATGCTATTTTCCCCTCTAATTGCTTCAGTCCTAGAGGTGTTAAGAGATTCCAGATACCACCAGTATCTGGGTACTCGGTGGCCTCATCATGCATTCTTTCTTCTGTTCCCTAACCCCTACCTATGCTCCCTGTAAACAGTCCTTTAATTAAAGTCTCTTCATCTGATTAATCTGGATAGAATTTTGTTTCCTGTAAGGAGTATGGTTGAAATACAGTATAGACATGTACTTATTGACATAGAAATATGTCTGACAGAAAATAGATCTGAATATTAACAGCACTTAACTTTAGGTGGCAGAATCAGATTAGCTGTTTTTCTTTATGTCTGTTTTTTCCGATGTCCTATAGCATTTACTCACTCATTCGAAGGATAGAAAATAAATAAAATTAAATGCAGAATGGATATATATACAATTTCTAGAAGTACTAGTGGCCTTCCCTCTTGTTCCACTTCTTCTAAAATGTACATAAATAAAATGTATATTGCATGAAACATATTTTATTACCCTGCTGGGGTAATGAAATGGTCACTTACAAACTCCCAGGTATTTCTTTCTTCTTCTTCCTGCATTCTATTATCTATGAAAGAGCTTACAATCTATGTAGACTGTTTAGTTTAAAGTACTATAGGTATTAGCTAACTTAGCTCTTGGAACTTTGTGCCTACCGTGCAAATACTCAGCTTCTTCAAACTGTCTCCCCTCTTATTAGCTGTGTAAAGCTGCAATTTACACATTAGATCTGCGAATCTACATCAACCAAATGATTAGTACAACCCTCTTCCACTTGCCCCAGAAGTTATAAGACTCTAATGGAAAAGTGAAAGCTGACCCAAACTCCAAAATGAGTGACAAACACAAGGCAGAATTATGCTGTACCCTCTAAATGTGCAAATGAGTCATCACCATTCATAAATAGCAGTCAAATGTACAGAAAGAAGCTATTGTGATGATGAAGAATGATTCTAACCTTTACTATTAAAAATTACACACTCTAATAAAAATGCTCAAACAAAACCACCAATGATAGATCAATAAAAGCCATGCAACAGTTTCAGTGGAATGTTCTCTGAAGAGAACCAGCTCCTTGATTCTGACCCATTGATGAGCTTACCTTATTTAATACATTCCCAGAATTTTCTGAGATGTTACTATTAAACTTCAGTTTTGATATAAAGTTGTTTGGAAAAAATCTTTAAACAATATGTTCTCTATACTATGATACTCAAAATTAAATTGGGTCATTCAACTTTCAGATTCTCTGACTCATGTTTTTGAAGTTTTGTAATTAATTATATTCCATCATTACTGGATCATCAATTAGCTAAGAATGTTGCTAAAATGGTGAGAATGCTGAAGAAGGCAGAACTTAATGATAATGTGAGACCAGTAGAACACTACATTTCTCTCTTATTAATAATTTAAAAAGATGACTTATGTTTTTGTTTATGGTTTCCAGAAATAAATGGCTCATTCCTGTGTGTTGGTCAGGATCTGACTTAGGCCATTCTGTTTTATTTTACTCATATATTCAACTAAAACCATAAAAAGCAACCCAGTCAACTTTCAAAGCAAGTGAGGCTCTTACCACATCTTCTCTGGAATGTTCCACCTGGCCAAATACATTCTTAAGATATGTAAAGAATGAGTAGGAGGAAATTTTCAGTTTACCTGTTTCAATCTCCCAGACGTATACAGAGTCATCTGCACATGCAACAATTAAAAAATTCTCAGTCGGGTGCCATTTTATCAGCTTCACAGGGAAAAGGTGCTTCCGGGCCCGCAAGAGGCAAGTCTTCCCTTCTAGGTGAAGGAGAGCCACAGAGTGGTCACTGCACACACAGCAAATTATCTGGTTGCCTCCCATCTGTATAAACACAACACAACTGTGTTAATGGTTGAGTGTGCTCTTTATGATTAGATCAAATACCCCCTGCTCAACTCAACACATAAAATTTTAAACCCTATTTACAAAAGGACATTTCTACTCTCCATAGCAAGTGACTCTCTATGGAGGAGCTTTAAAACACTACGTATGGTTTAAACTCAACTGTCTATCAAGAAGGTCAAAAAATGCAAATGGAAAGTAGAATCCCAGGCCAGATCTATTTAGGAAATAAATGAAACATCTGACCATCACTCAGCAGATTCAGGCAGTGAGGCAGACGTCGGAAATAATGCAGAATATAATAAACCTCGGAACTAATTTGTTGCCACAAACAGAAGTTATTTGTAGACATGAGCTTAGGCCCAAGGGTATCATGGGCTGATATTTTCCACTTAAAGCCTCAAAATGTGATTTGGTACTGTTCCCAGAAGTCTACAGCTTCTAATCCAAACAGGAAACTCAGTGTAGACACAATTCAAAGAGGTAAGCATTAGACGGTTCCAGCTGAAAGTTCGGTCTCAAAGACACAAGGACCAAAAATAGGCTCGAAGGACAAAGATGCTTAAGGTGCTTTTGAGAAAGTCAGCATGGGGTGACCATGACCATCCTGTAGGATGACAACTGTCCAGCTGAAGGCTGCTAAAGCTCAGCTGCCATGTTTAAAGCCATAGCTTGAGATCTCTTGAGACCCTCTTGGTGCCATATATATCTTCCTGTAGGGTGCATTTTTTTATTTGCTACCTCTTCTTTTTATTATTATTTTTTTTTGTAAAAATATGGAACACTTCACAAATTTACATGTCATCCTTGCACATGGGCCACACCAATCCTCTCTGTATTGTTCCAATTTTAGTAAATGTGCTGCTGAAATGAGCACTATTTTCTACCTCTTCTTAAGGAGACTACATAAATCCTGAGGTGGGGAACTCAATATAAGGCAGGTGTGATACAGCTGGAGCCTAGACTTGTACATTAGATCAGATCTCCTTTCTCCTCAGTCATCTTATCTTTTGGAGAATTTCCCCATTACACAGCTTCTAAAACGGATAGTGTAAAACACTTCGGAAAACTTACACACATCTCAACAGAAGTTATGATCAGAAGTAGACATGCAATAGTGATGCTGGGCCAATCATATTCTGTTTTCACAGCATTTGAAATTGGGAAGCTATAAAAGAATTTATAGAAAACAGCAAAAAAAAAAAAAAAGGGGTGGGGCAATCACAGGAAAGCAGATGTTGAGGGTAAGGAACTATGGTTTCCAATTCGTAGTTCACATGCCACTGAGCCCTCACTCCCTGGTGTCTAATGGATATCTGAGGAACTGCCTTTACTCCCTTATTATTGGACTTAGTATGAATGGTTTTGATCCTTAGAGTTAAATTATCTATGACTGAGGCAGAAGGAGGAAGGAATAGAAATGACTTCTTTTGAGCCTGAAAGAAAGCAGCTATTAAGAAAAAAATAAATGAACAAAGAGGGGCCAGCATTGTGGCATAGCAGGCTAAGCCATTGACTGCAAAGCTGACAACACATACAAAGAACATCCGGTTCAAGCCCCAAGTCCCAGATGTTAAGTTTCTGCTCAGCTCTCTGCTGATGTGTTTGGCTAGGCAGTGGAACCTGCCTGGAATCCACCAGCGACACCTAGAAAGGAGTCCTGACTCTGAGTTTTGGCTTAGCTTAGTTTAGTCCTGGATGTTGTGATCAACTGGGGGATGAATCAACAGATCCCCCCCCTGCCCCTCTCTGTAAAAGCTTTTCAACTAAATGCATAAATAAATCCTATTTTTTAAAAACTCATGTGATTACATGAATATGACATATTGAGGCATTCCAAATCGCTACACAAAAGTTTTTCAAAACATTACTTAACTTTTTTCACTCTTTCCTGAAGTATTATTTTACAATGTAAACATTTTCCATGTTAATTTGAAACTAGTGTTTCATAATATTATGGAGAAATAATACTATTTTAATTTTAAATAATGCTTTATTTTTTTAATATAAAATAATTTCTAATCCAACCAATTTAGGAAATAATGTTATCAGTATTACCATGTAATAAAGGAAACACAAAAGGTGGCTGTTCACATTTTAATGAATGTATGAATTTAAGTTACTGTTTCACAATAAACTTATTTCATCCAGAATGAGTTTCTTACATATTTGTTAAAGGCCATAATATCCTAAATGAAATGATAGAAAAAGAAAAATCCACTCAAGAAACAACAAAGTACCAATATTAATGTAAAAGAAATTGTAAAAGGCAAAAGTTAATTTCTAATTTGTTGAATTCTATAGTATTTGGCTTGTTTATCATTGAGTATTATTTTTTTAAAAAGTCCCATTAAAATTAAGATGTAGAATATGGGAGGAAAAAAAAGGTTAATATGAAAAAAATGGCTTTGGCAAAAATCAAGAATCTATTACACCCATACTCTATAGCCAAGTTATTTATACATGTTATAGTAGTAAATTTCAAAAAAAATTAAAAGGAAATAGTAAAACCTTACTCAACTCGAATATGAGCACAAAGGAACTTCTTTCTTTCTTTGTGGACAAATGTTTTGTTTTGTATTATTTTGTTTTTTCTTCCCTGTTTTCTTCCACTAAGGGTGTGTTATTTGTTAAGACAGGTTTTAATTTTTATCTTGACTTACTCTAAAAGTCTCTGGTGACATCAAAAGGCTCATTACTGGACCAGCTTCCAAAAAGAATTTATGCAGAATGTCTTCAGTAAAGATGTCCCACAAGATGACACATGAGTTTTGGTCCCCGGACACCAACCAGCTCAGGTCAAATCTTGAAGAGAGACCGTGTGGGTAAAGCAACGCAGTGACGCTTTGCTGATGGCCTTTCAGAACCTTGTGGCAGGACAGACCTGCAAAACAGTAAAACCCCAAATGAGGCGCAGGTGACTCATGCTCAGGAAACAGTTCTGATCTTTGTTTCCATGAGTGTTTAACCTAACCATACATCTGGCTAATAGCATTCACGAACAATGCTTAGGCCATCCCAAAGGCCAGTGCCTCATCAGAAGCCAGATTATGCTTTGTTCCAACTCTGCTAATTTAAAGATCTTCACCAATTATCAATCCTCGGATCATGAAATAGCAAACACTGTCAGAAACATAAGTGTGTTCTTCCCCAACACAAATAAGCACAGCTTATTATGCTGTTGTTTAAGACAGTATGGCCAAGTCTAATATTCACTGGATATTTTTGTTTTGAAAGATAGTAGAGATTATCTATTTTGAATTCTGGTCTTCAAAGCTAAACTATCTGAAGCTCAGAAGTGTATCCAAGTGTGGAAAGCCAAAACACAATGCTTATGAAGAAAGCTTTTCTAATAAATAAATCTGTTTCTGTCTTCTGTATCTATTAGATATGTCACCACGGAAAAGTGGCCACTTCCTTGTTATCACAGAGGCTGCCCTGGAAAAACTGGGATACTGCCGAAGCTCACTGCAGGCTGGACCATTTTATGGAATATACACTATTCAGAACTAATAACATATAATACAAATATGAAAAATATAATTAAAAATAATAAATAGAATGCAGTCCACTTTACTTGACAGGGTGTTTCAAACCGTTTTTGTTTTAGAAAATAAACAACCAACACCTCATCACTGCTACTACTGAATCACCCGAAATCGAACAGGAATGTAAACCAAATACTCTCTCTTTATTCAATTATTCAAGCTGAGAATGAAACTCAGGGAATCATTATTACAAATCCATCATGAATACTCTTACCTTATATCCCTGAACAAACTAAAATGAATGTAAACTCAGATGTTATGCATCAAATATATAGACTTCTGTTGATTTTCTGGATATTAAGATAAATCAGTCTTAGCCAAAAAAAAAAAAAAAAAAAAAAAAAGCTATGTTCTTGCATTTTTCACTAACTCTAAGCAGCAACCACTTACGCTTGTACCAGCAGCACATTATCTCTCCTCGGTTCATACCCATTTGCACCCTAAGGTAAGTCCATCATCAAAAGACAAACCAGAAACAGAAGTAGCCAAAGTAAGCATGACGAAGATAATAGGCAATCTAAGAAGATTTTCAATTGATATTTAATGCATATTCTAAAGGATCTTACACTGTAGTACTATTCATAAAATTCAAAACACGTAATGTATACTTTTTCTAATATCCTAAATCTCAATCACATTCTATATTATCTTTCTTTAAATAAGGTGCTATTGCAAAATGGCCTTTTGCTGCTGAAATACAGAAAGATATATAAGAATACAAATATACTTCATTCACGGAAATTCAAATGAGAAAATACTGTGTTTTTCCTGATTGGTAAAGACTAAAAATGCCTAGTAGCACATACAGTTGGCAACATTTAGAGAAGTCACTTTCATAGGTGACTGGCAGACACATGTGTATGGAGATGTAAGTTCCCTACAGCTTTTAGATATGTTTTCAATATCAGAAATGTAAACAAATTTCTACTGGGAATTTCTGTGCTTAGGAGATGATCCTGCATAGACACTCACATACCTTTACAAAAATAAATCCGCAATGCCCAAAGCAGCTAAAGAATAGGAATCTAAATGCCAAATAGTAGTTTGGGTTTTTTTTTTAAATATGATTCTTATTTTTTATTTGCATTAGATAATAGTGAACAAGATTTGTTTCAGGAGCCCCCACTGTAGCACAGTGGGTTAAGCCACTACCTGCAGTGCCAGTATCCCATAAAGGCACCAGTTTAAGTTGCAGCTGCTCCACTTATAATCTAGCTTCCTATTAGTGCACTTGGGATGGCAGTGGAAAACAGCCCAAGTACTTGGGTCTCTGCATCCATGTGGGAGACCTAGAAGAAGCTCCTCGCTCCTGGCTTTGGCCTGACCCAACCCAAGCTGTTACAAACATTTGGAAAGTGAACCAATGGCTAAAAGGTTCTATCACTCTCCTTCTTTCTCTTTCCTCTCCCCTTCATTTCTTCATATCTCTCCGTAACTCTGCCTTTCAAACAAATAAAAAATAAACCTTGAATCATTTGTTTAAAGGAGTGGACATACACTATAGCAGATAAAAATCACTGCCCACAATGTTGGCATCCCACGTGGAGTCAGCTTTTGTCATTGCTGCTTCACTGCCAATCCATCTGCCTGGTAATAGCCTGGGAAAAGCAGTGGAAGATGTGCCAAACAGGACCCCTGCACATGTGTGACACCTGAAGGAAGCTAGTGGCTTCACTGTGGTCTATTCCTGGTTGTTGTGGTCATCAGGAGGATGAACTGGCAAATGTAAGATAATTTTCTCTCCCTCCCTGGATTTCAAATAAAATAAAAAGATTTTAAGGACATTTTATTAAAGTGTATAGAATAAGTACCTATTTGTCTAATGTAATTAAAATATGTATAATGCTATGATAACACGAATTTGAATATAAAATTTTCTGTATAAAAAACATAAACCTGGCATGGTGGTCCTTGCCTTGCATTGTCAGAATCCCATATGGGCACTAATGGTTCCAATCCCAGCTGCTTCAGTTCCCATCCAGCTCCCTGCCTGTGGCCTGGGAAAGCAATCTAGGACAGCCCAAAACCTTGGGGCCCTGGTCCCCCATGGGAGTCCTGGAAGAAGCTCATAGCTTCTGGCTTTGGATCGACTCAGCCGTTGTGGCCACTTGGGGAGTAAACCAGCAGATGACAGATCTTTCTCTCTGATCTCCTCTCTGTATATCTGACTTTCTAATAAATATTTTTAAAAGTATAAAAAACATTATTAGCAGGGTTTTTTGATGAGTCGGAAAAGAAACCTACTGTATATATTTCTCACTGGGCTTTGAAATGTCTATACATATGATTTATTTGAAGATAAAAATACATATAATTTATCAGCAAAAAATGTTTAAATCCCTCATCGTTTTGCTTCAACTTGTTGCACTGATAAATAAATAGAGCCAGGTAAAATTCAAAGACCTTTTAATAACGAAGCACCTTCTAGAAGTCCAGCTTTGGCAGCATTTAAAGCATGGGTGATGAAAATTGTCCCATCTTCACAGCCACATATTAGTTTATCAAGATTTGGCACGTACTCTGATGAGGTGACTACAGCAGTTCCTATGCCATCTTTAAAATCTGAGAAATGGTCAACAATACTTTGCGGTACAGTATGATGCTTATCAAAATTATCCTGAAGCGTCCAGGTGGCAGTGACTGGTATCTCTAAAAAGCAAACACACAAGAGGAACCTTATTATCAAGGTTTTCACCACCACTTCAAAACTACAAATGTGGAATAAAAGATCATTCCATGTTCATCCCTTATATTGTTCAATTTGTGTTCACTTCAATAATTCTGGTGGTAATGCAGTATAAGATACACGGGCTTCATGTTTATACATGCTTTTATCTTCTCATCTAGTATATGGTGGATCTTGTTTGTAGCTTCATTATTGCTCAGTTTAGGACACAGTGAATTAATTGCAAAGTTGTCCTCAGAAGACATGGAAACAGGCTTACCTCTGGGAGAACCATCAAACCTGGAAACAGGAACATCGGGGATGTGCCACAAAGTAATTCGTCCTGAGATTTCTCCAGAAAACAGTACTTTATAAAATGGCTCTTTCCTTTCATTCATGTAGCCCATAACACAGGGTTGCCTCTGTTTCAACAAAAAGTGACCTTTTATGTAGGAATATAGAGATATGGCTACTGGCTTTAAACAGAGGAACAAATACATCTCTTCAGTTCCCACTGTCAAAATTTTCAATCAATCCAAATGAAATAATCTGTACTTTAGGATAAACAACGACTTGTAAAACATGAACTGGTACTATCAGTGTCTTCACTTTACAGATAAGGAAACTGGGAACAAGGAGATGGATCTAACCAAGGTGACAGAAACAATAGTGAGTTTTAAGTCTAGGAATTCTGACTTGGTCACTATCTTGATAACACTGCCTACTAAAGAGGCCTGATTTCTTTATGGTTCTTTTAATTCCATCTGTTTATTACAACATCAACAGCTAATATCTATCTATATAATAATTATGTGTTCTTAAATTGCTTTCTACTTTCTGTTGACTACACACTGATTTCAAGTTTCCAAAGTCACCAAAAAAAAATTCCATAACTTACATAATTGCACTCAGTACACATGTGTATGAATATAAATAGACTTAGTATATACTATTCCAGATTCCTGTTACTGCACACCCTGAGAGGCACCAGGTGATGCATCAAGTACACTCATCCTTTGCACCCATGTGGGGGATCTGGATGAAGTCCCTAGCTCCTGTCTTCGGCCTGGCCTACTTTTCACTGTTGTGAGCATTTGGCCAATGAACTAGTACATGGAGGATCTCTGCCTCTTTGTCTTTTAAATGAAATGAAAATAAATAACAGTTTGTGAAGAAAAATAAATTACCCCCAAATTTATAAAATGTGTATTTATAATTTTGCTCATGCAGATACATGAATATCAGGTACTACTGCTATTAAAATTGTATATTTGCTAGTAAATAGTGAATCCCTAGTACAACCTTGCAATGTAGCTAGTTCTTCTTTTATTTAGCAATGTGTAAATAAAAATAGAATTTGTACACAAGAGATCAAAATGATTGTTATTAAAAAACAAAACCAGAAATCTTTAAAAAAATGTCAATGGCTGGTGTTAGAATTAAAGAAACCTAAGAAAGTGGTGGTTTCAGTCAGAAAATAAACACTATAGTTCACATTTAGATACACTGGAGGTAATATTTAGGGAATATTAAGAATCAAGATGTAAACACCACATTTAATCCTCAAAACTATGAATAAATATTAATATCCATATTACTGAGATTAGGCAACCAAAACCAGAAAACAATAAGTTCAAGGCTATTATAACCAACATACTTGTATGTAATTATCTATAATTCTAAGTGCAGGCCTTGTGGGAAACAACTGCAGTAAAGTCAGTTATTTAGATATGTGGACAGATGGATAGGGTGTTGGGTAGGTAGGAGGGTGGGTATGTGAGTAAGCTGGCAGGCAGAGAGGAAGGTGAGCAGGTAGATACAGTGACTGTTGATAGGATACTGTGTTGTCTTACAAATATCAAAGTCATGATTTTTATAGGTGCTAGAGATGGTGCTGATAGGTACAGGTGTTACGGTAGAAAGGGCATTGGTTTACATCCTGGATATTCCATTCCAATCCAGCTCCTTGCACACGTATCAGGAAGGACAGTGGAGAAAGGACCACCTGGTTGGACTCTGGCCACCCATGTGGGACACCCAGATAGAGCTCCTGGATCTTCGCTTTGGACCAGTCCAGCTCTGAACATTGCAGCCATTTGGGCAGTGAACCAGTGGATGAAAAGATCTCTCTCTCTCTCTCTCTTAACTCTGCCTTTTAGGCAAATAAATCAATTTTCAAATTACAAAAAGGATGCTAATAACATTTGATTACACTGACTATCAAACTCAATCTTTTGATAACTATGGAACCATTGTTCCAATTGTGTTGTTATTTCAACATGAAAATAAAGTTCCGTTTGCTACCTACACAGGTTGGTAGCAGCATGTCTTTAATCTGTGCTCTGTCTCTCTATTCAAGGCTTCCTCTACTGTCATTTCCCTACGGCCCATTATCTATACACAGTTTCTAATGGCCACATCCAGTTTTTAACCACTTAATTTTCCTTCCGCCCAATAGCTTTCCTAGTCACCTAAACCCCCTCGGTAGTTCCTTACAATGTGAGGTCCTAGTATTCATTACATTTATAGTAGGGAGCACCTATTCACTAAGAGGTTCCAAAATACTCAACAAGAGTGAAATCTCTGCTTTCAACTCCTGACTTTTCCACATACAACTCTCTTTTAAAATAACAAGATCTCTGTTTCATTTCCTCAGTTGTGAAAGGGCAGTAATTCCAGAACCTATTATTTGAGATTATTTTAAGTATCAATGGTTTGGTAAAGATCAAGCAGATGCATGCATGATATTTCGCACCCACTCAAAAACTACTGCCCTTCTTATTATCTTTTTCATAAGAAGCTTCACTCAAGAGTCATTTCAGATATTAAGACTAAAATTCTCCCAACTAACTTCAAAATAGGATCTGGATGACAACCAAAGCAAATGAGATGTTGTATGTATTTTATTATTATTGTTATTATTTTACATAATTACACATGATTTATATAATCTACATAGTTACCTATGATTAAATTTACTAATAGCACTAATAGGAGCTATCTGTCATCACTATCCTTCTCATTACTCTTAGTCTGTGTATCCAAAATCATTAGCTACAAGTTTCAGGCTGCTTCCCTCCTAGCTACTCCCATTAAGGCACTGCAGCCTTCCTGCAGAGCGGACACCCTGGGAAGCCCACATTCTCATTTCAACAGTCCTCGACAGGACCCTGCTACAGGCCTCAGCAATCAACACCTGTGATATGAAGGCTAAGTTCCCACTCCTGCCACCACAACTTCATCCACAGACACACACAGGAGAACATCAAAGGGTAATTCAGAATATGCTACTGTCAAGTTTTGACCACTAATTCTATAGTATCATGCCAAAAAAGTAATACAAAATAAAAGCCTGGTCTGTACCATATGTTTAAGAATATAGTTCCAAGGCTCATCACAACTACAAAACTTAATCTCCACACCCCATTTACAATGCCTTCATTATCTCCTAGATGTACAAGTAACAAAACACAGTCCTATATTTAGCAAATATAGTTGAGGTCTGACTACACAGAATCATGTCGCACTTTATTTCCCTGGATAAAAAGTGAATTAGGGTCTGAGGATGAGTAGCTCATCCTCTTTCAAGTCTCAGATTATTCTAACCTTGTCTCACTGGCTTCTTAGAATAAACAGAAAGAAACGTGGCTGTCCAAACAAGAATCACTGGAAGAAGACCCCTCCATGGGTGCCCTCGTAGTTTCAAAAACAAAGCAAGGTAGTTTCTTCTAAGCTCTGTTTTTATTTTTAAGATTTATTTTGGAAGGGGTCAGGGGAAATGGCATGGCACCATGCCTTATGAGGCTAACCCTCTACCTGTGCTGCTAGCATCTCACATGGCCACCATGTTCGGATCCTGGCAGCTCCATCTCCAATCCTCAGCCAAGCAACAGATATCCATCTGTCCTTCTCTCTGCAACTCTGCCTTTCAAGTAAAGCAAGCAAACAAACAAACAAATATATATTTATGCTACAAATAGCATTAATACCTGCGGTGGTTGAGCGGCTCCTAGTGGCTTTGTAAAATTGCATTCTAGAGGTAAAAAGGAGGAAAGGATCACTCCTTTAAAACAACTAAGAAACATCATTTTAAGGGAGTCACGGTACTGTTTTCATGATCAACAGTAAAGCAAGGCTCTATTGTTGCCCACAATAATTGTGAAACAGCCCTGATGGCGGCCATATCTCTAAAGTTTGCCCATGCTACAGAGGCACTTGGTGTTCTGAATTTTCAATGACAGCTTCTTAGTCAAATTTTTTCAACAAACCTCTCAGATATATTAAAGGGACAATCGCTGAATTGTAGCATTTCTACCAGCTGCCTAATTAAGCAATCCATCACTCTGTAAAGGGTAGTATGCTTCCTTGGTTGACATACAGGTAATAAAAAACTCCTCTCCATGAAATAACTTTTTGGGTAATGAATGAATGACTACATAAAAAAGAATTTTAGAAAATTGCTCCCAGGAACACTACTAAAATAAAATGATGACTGATATTTTCAAATTTCCTATTGTTGAAAGCAGAATTTAGAACAGTAACAAGTTCATAATTATATTAACATTTTGCCAGAAATTATAATACACTCAAGGAAGTTAATTCATATGAATGGCTACATACAACTAAGAAAGTTTTCAACCTATGGTTAAGAATAAATAGAAAAGAGACCACCTCCATAAGTTTTAAAATAAGGGCAGATACATATCAAGATGTTAACAATGCTGTGTAAGACTTTGCAGAGGAAAAAAGCAGAAAGAAAGAGAGAGGCAGAGGGAAAATAAGCGTGGGAAAATGCTAATAACTGGTGAATCTAGGTAAATGTTCTATTGCTAACCATTTAACTATTCTTACAACTTTTCTAAATATTTGGAACAGCTCCCATTAAGATAATTCAACATAAAATAGCCAAAACCAAACCAATTTTGCAGTAAATATTTATGGTAGTGACATTAGGGATTTCAATTTTCCTTTGTTTTTCTAACATTTGTAATATTTATAGTAAGTAGGCATTATTTAACTAGACTGAAAGGCACCAGAGTTATCAAAAGACCACGTTTACTCTCTTCAGTAGCCACTGACAGTTAAACTTGATTTTCTTGTTAACAACTTGATGTGATGCTTCAGTTTAATTTTCTCAAAGCCACTCTGTTACAGACAAAGCGAGGCTAATCTAAGAAACAGTGAAACAGCTTTGGGGCGACCACTCTTTGCTTGCATTACCTTATTTTCCTCCACAGAAGTAGAGCACAGCAAATGAGGATAAATGGTCTCTTTAAGCACTCTTCCATCAGCAGGGTGTGTGCTTTTTGAAAGCCCACTGAGTGGCAAAAATTAAAAGCAAAGTTTAGAACTTTGGGGTTCTTTATTCATTTCTTCCCCCCACCTCCCACTTTGAAAAGCCGGATGGTACCATTCAAGTTTCTAAACTCTAGTTAGAAATTGTTGGGTTAATAATTACAAGTGACTTTTTGAAAACCCAGCACCAGCTGTACAAGTTATACATGGTTAATCTCATTCCTTCATCCCCTGCTGTTTCGTACAAAGGCTGAAGCCTACCAAGCCCAGAGTAAATCTTCCAGTGCCAAAGTTGTTTTGTTCTGGTTTTTGATCATGGGCAGCATGCAGGGGTTTTTCCATAATAAACCTTCCAAAGTTCATTTTCTACCTGAATGTTTTGTATGCTGCTCCCATCTGAGCCCACCTGTTCAGCAGCTGATAGATATAACTGTGACCATCTTCTGTCCAGATGAGGATTCTGTGAGCAGCAAGCACCTCACCACCAGCAAAGAACTGCCCATTTCTGCTCATTTCAGTCCACAGAAGGGAAAAGTCGCAATAATCATAAACCTGAAATACAAAATGGACACGCATTAGTGAAAGCTTACTGCCTAATCTGTCACCGAGGTGAAAGGTAGAGTGAGCTTCGCAGATGGGTTATTTTTCATATTAATTCTAAGGTAGATTTCACTACACAAAGTTTCCCCTTTAGTTTCATTCCAGAAATGTTCGTTGAACAAAAGATCAAAGATCCAAATTGTTCAAAACTATTTTATTCTTTTATATGTGTAACTGAGATTTAATATTTGAAACTTAATTATGCATACAAATCTTACAAAACAAATTCTTTGGTCAGGTACTTTAAGTCTTTGTTCAAAAACATACTATCACTATACAAGAAGGACAGTATGTGGGTAGTAAGTAAGCTAACTTTGTGAAATACTAAAGAAAATGAGCTAATTTGACTTGTTTCTTCTTAAAGATATCACAGGAAAAGTCTGCATATTCCCTAGGAACAAATTCAGTGATATAAGAGAAAAAAAAAAAAACAGCTACAAGTAAGCTATATAAAGGTGAAAGCTATATAAAGGTGAATTTTAAGGTATAGGTATCAACTTTTAAAAGTAATTTAGAGATAAAGGCTCATTATCATTATAATTTCTTACAACTGAAAATAAGACATTAAACACAAATAACAAGAGGCAAAACCACTAAACTCAGGGAGTTGAAAACTGTTATCAGGCTGAGAGCTAATTCACTGTATATTTATACAATTATGTTATACATGTTATACAATTATACATGTTTATATGAATTATATGGAACAAGAACAATCATACTTGCATATCATAAATATTATTTATTTAAATTTACCTTCCAACATTTAGAAAACACCACCAACAGAAGTCTTTCTGTGTAAGTGCAAAATCGTATTGTCTGGCAGTTTAAGGAGTCGAGGAACTTGGACTCTTTTTCATAAACATCTTGCTTTTCCTTCAAAAGAAAAAAGGAAACATTTTAGTGTTATTACAAAGTAATGTATTTATGACCATGAGAACACACCTAGGGTAAATCTCTGTTGAGAAATGGAAAAATATCTTGGCATCCTCTTTTAAAGTTGCTCTGCAATGGAAATTCACCTGGAAGCATCATTTAGGGAACTATGTTGGATACCAAGAATGGAAAGGGTAAGTCACTACCTTTTGGACAGGAAAAAAGATTCCATCAAAATACAAAACGATGTATTTTAAAAATCCTTCTGGATCTTAACTGCTAAAATAATAAAAGAAAAAAGCAATATGGTTTGTGGAAGGACAATAGGTAACACAGAAGACAAAAAAACCACATTCTTAGTGACTTTCTGATAATATTGGGTGTCAGCTCATCAACCAACCCAATTCCTTGGTTTCTTCAACTGATAAATTCCTAGAGACCCCAGAGATCCTTGTGGGTAGCCTGACAACTTTATCACCAATACACAAACACCTGGACTGTTTGTCACCTTGACTGATGCTAGAAAGCAGGTGAATATACTGAACTCTTCAGGGATGTGATCCTCAGTCTTTCATAATCATCTCCCAGGCACTGTTCACACTTTCCCAAACAAGGGGAGTCTCTGCCATGACACACTGAGAGATAGCCTATGACTGTTCCAAATTACTAATTACAATAGTAACTTTTTCTCTCCTTGGGTATGTGTGTATACAAACTTTTTGCACACATATAGAGAAAGGGTTGGAAGAATGTTCTCCAATTGTCCCAATGTCCTCCCTTGGGAAGATGGAGAGAAGGAAGTACATGAAACTGAAAATTATACATCTTCCCACTTAAATATTTAACCGTGAGCATGTAATACCTTTACATTTTTTAAACTTTTCAACAGTTATGCTTGAAATTAGAGAAAGCAAGTGAAATTTCCATGTCAACCTGAATGCTGTTGATAGATGAGGAGAGGTCCCACACTTTGAGCTCACCGGTCACTGATACCACCACGAGGGAATCTTCTGTGAAAAGAACAAAGACCCCATATGAGATGGTATGAGCTGACCACTGCTATAATGGGTGGCTGCAGGAGAATACACTAAACCATTTCAAAGTCATTCAAAGACTGACAAGTCATCAATTCATAGTTAGTTAAGGATAATGCAGGCCTGTGAAAGTGGAAAAATTTCAGTGATTCCCCCTGTAAATAAGGACATACAATCTTTTAAATGCAAAACCACATGGTCAATCTTCACCTTGGTAGTATCAAATAAACTTTCCTATTGGAGAAGTAAATGTCACTTTTCACTGTCCTGTTTTGTGTCTTAATGCAAAAACAGAAGTCTCCTCAGAAGATCCAGCTAGAGCAGAGTGAAAGTTTCAAGAGTTCTGATAACACACAACACAATACTGCCTGCCATAGATACAATGTACAAACAAAACTGGATCATAGAGACAAATTCTCCTCTCTCCACTTTACTGTATCTTCACTCACTTTTCACTGCCTTGAACCACTGGCATTGAGTGCATTTGGCTTTTCTTATTCTCACTGGCAGAGCTATTCCCGCAAAGAGGTAAATATGAAGAATCATTCTGAAGATTCATCCAACAATTGAACAAATAATTGAATGGTGAATGCTTTTATATGTAATCTCTTAGTATTATACAATACCCAATTATTACCTTGGATTCTCATGGAATGAACAATGCACATGCAGCTGACCCAATCAGGAGACTGAGATGATGTAAAAGTGTGAACGAGCACCAGTGTTTTGGCATCAATGACAAGGATATCTTGATACTCTCCACAACACAGAAGCCAGCCTTCTCCTGTCATCCGGAATGAGCAGTGGTAATACTATGTAAATGAAATTCAAAGCAAAAATTTATTTTTCACAATCGACCCGATTTGTCAGTGTTGAAGACTTCTCTGGATTTTAGTTTAAGAATCTCTTCAATTAAGATACTGAACTACACAGCAGCTAAAATTCCATGTTTTCCATTTGTTTCGTACCCCTAAAGTATTTATGTTGCCTTTGAATCTTGTTTATTTTTGTCACTGTTCTAAAGGAAAAGATATTTTGTAAAGAAGGAATCTGATTCCAAATGATGGAAAGTGCTCAAGTATGTAATCTCTCTTGTAATATTCAGAACTAAACAATAACAAAAACCAGGTTTCCTATCTTGGCAAGATTGTTATATGTTAAATAACAATGAAAAATACTTGAAGCACATGAGTACTTCTGCCAAATAAATTTTGAAATGTTTTGTTTAAAAGTATCAAGTTACATGATTTACTTTTTTTTTTTTTAAATATCAACTCACAGAATCTACCATTCTCCTTTCTCACTGAGCAAGATTTTGGTCCCAAAAGAACAGGAAGGGGTTCATGAATGTTGAAGTTCAAACCATCAGCAGTAAACATACACAAACAAAATATTTTCAACTCCACTGGAACCATACAACTATCTTACATATGCTAGGGTTCATCTACCTAAAGCTAAAATCTGTTTTAAACATTGGGAAGTAATTAAAAAGGCAATGATATTCCTGTATTTTCTGTTCACAAATAAGAAATGCCTAAATTAATAACTTCTTCAACAATTGCAATAAGTTAAAATTGGAAATGAGGATAAAAATCTATGCTCATAAAACAGCAGATCATTAAATCTGATTGTGTATGTGTGTTTTGTCAGTACCTTTAGGAAAAATATGAAAACTGTCTTTCAAATGTGTCTGTTATAAAGACATAGAAGTAAAAGAATTAGAGAAAATCTGGTTGAATATATCTTCTGCAAAACAAAAATGTCAGAATAGAAAATGATTCCTGATAATATGCAATTCTTGTGGTGGAATAAGCATTCAAGGAAAGAATAATGTTCAAAGACACTTCTTTAAATGTGTGTGCAGCAAATGTCATAAAGGAGCTACAAAATCCAGAAATGCTTTGAAGATTGTAAGGATACTTACACAAATGGTGGTGTGTCTATATGGAAGGGTGGCCTTCTCCACGCACTGTCCACTGGTGACGTTCCAAACACACATCTCCCTAGCAGAGATAACTTTGCATTATTCTCTGTCATTTCCACTCAATTGGCCAGAATAATTTCTGCGAGACCAAGTTTTTCTTTAGTGCTGCTCTTAAGTGTAACCTGATCGCTTATGTGGATTTTTTGTTACAGATTACTGGGCAAGAAAATGTTGTAGTCATTAGCAGGGTTGACATACTGTATCTGTGTCTTTTTGTTTAGGTAATTACGCCCTGCCACCAGCCTGCAAACCTCACTTTACAGCCAACCTAGCCTACAGCAAATGGTGGGAATACAGCTATCAGGGTCCATTAAAATGACAGCAAAACAACCTTTTCATGGAAACTGCTTGCTCCTGAAAATGGCTTATTTCACTGAACCTAAACTACATATTCTGAAAAGAATAATGTATAGAGTGTTTCCTCTTCTGGAGCCCAGGAATTGTTTTTGTAAACAGTGCCACCAAGAGGCTGCATCTGGTCCATCAGTAATTGGGTTGGTTCCTTGGCTTCCTATTTGAAATCCTGAACTCATCCTTGTAACTTAATGTTGCAAATTTTTCATTTTTAAAAGCTCATCTGTGGCCACACATATATCACAAAGACAGATGCAGTTATCAAATACAGTTAGAAAAAGCACCCAGTGAAGCACAGTCTGTATGACTTTTGTTCACAAAAGTCAGAAGGATTGCTTCAGAGACTTTCGGTGATATTCTTTAGTTTTGACAGTATCAATACGTAAGTCAAATCTTCCATGGGGGGGGGGGAGGAGGAAAGATTTTCGGACATTAAAGAAAGCATTACAGTTAGGAAGCAAAAGACATGAACTAATCAGTAGTATATGATATTGCATGTGTTTCATACTTGCAGGATTTTTTTTTTCCTCAGTAAATACTAGAAACTCAGTATCCTAAAACACTATTTTATGAAACCAGAATTGTTGTTACCTCTCTCCACATCCCTGGGACATTTAGCCACATCTGGAGAGATTTTTGTTTGCAACAATGAAGAACACACTACTGGCATCTAGTGGACAGAGGCTGAGGTTGCGCCTAACCCTCCCACAAAGCACGGGACTATTGCCCACAACAAAGAAAGATCAAGTCCAAAGTACTATTAGAACCCAGCCTGAGAAGCCATAATCTAGAGACAGAAAAAAACATTCATAACATTTTTTCTATTGTATTCGAGTTTATACTTAACAGGGTTAAAGTTAACCTGAAAAGGCATACGACTATAATATCAGGGACAAGGAAGATATAGGCCTGTGTTTCATATGTGTGTATATGGAATGCGTATGTATACTGAAAATACAAAAAACTGAAATACAATATCCTCACAGTAAAAACAAAATCCCATAATACATCTAAGGCTAAACAAATAAGTCTCAAAGATAATGAAAGTGAACTTTAAGCTGCCAACAATATAAAACATTATCTCTGCAAAAAATTTGAGCACCCCTTTACGGTTTTCAACTCTAGTTATATATTAAAAGTCACCTGCAAATATCTCAAAAATTACCCCCTAGCGATTCTAATTCTGTCCCTGTGTTGGGATCTAAAAATGTGTGAAAATTTGAAAATTCATTTGTCAGCTGATGCATTTCCAAATAAGTCTAAATCAGTCGTTATGAATTCTGACACTTGATTAGAGCTGAGAACCATTTAGCAACACTGATGGTGGGGACCCAACCCAGACATACAGCAAGCCTAACTTAATAACATTCTTCATGGTTGGAGCCTGGACTTCAGTAAGAGCCCTTCTAGTAACACTAATGCTTTTAAACCATGTCACCGTCCATTGTCTTTCCTGTTTATTTCCTTGCCATTTATTTTTGTCTTAAATTTAAAAGAAATACAAAAAATACCTCAAAGCAAAGATTTACTCTATGGTTATCAATTCTATTTTGCAGACGCATGTACATAGATGCATATTCATGTTCCTTAACAAGCACATCACTAGAGGTGGGCATTTGGCCTCGTGGTTAAGTTGAAAGCCTGTAGTGCATACCCAAATGTTCAACAGTTGGATCACAAGCTTCCTGCTTTTATGCAAACCTTGGTAAGCAGCAGCGATGGCTCAAATTCCTGCACCCACATAGAAGATCTGGATTGAGATTCCCAGTCTTAGTTTTCAGTTTGGCTCACTCCCAGTCATTTGGGACTATTGGCAAACTGCACAGTAGATAAAATCTTTCTGCTTCTATCTCACTTTCTCTTAGATATATACATAGACACATAGGTACGTAGACAAATAGAATCATTGCATTATATTCTCAAAAAGATATGAAAGCTAGCTGCTAAAATGTGTATTATGCTTTATTTTTAAATAATGGTACAAAGTTTGCATAAGGATTAAATCATATCAAATATGAAAAAGTAAATTTAACAATTTCCAAAACTTAAAAAATTCTTAGATTTTTATTTCAACAAAAAAGGAACATACAGGACAGTGTCTGCAACATTAAAAATGAGAAAATTATATCTAACTACAAGGCTCTTGATAAAGGGCCGTTTTTGGTTTCCTGCAGCTCTATATTCTTTAAATCAAAACTCTATAAATGTTAATTCAACTGGCAAACATATCAGTATCTATTCTCACTTACATGTCCCATTTTTCAGAAATACATCATTTTCTTTTGGCCCCATTAGAGTTTATATGTGTGTGTGCTTATAACACTGAAATGGTTTTGGTTAAAGAGAAGATAAACATCAACGCTTGGTTGATCATCTTGAATTGGACATCTACTGCATTCTCCAAACTCTTTTCCCTGATTATCTATTATGTTTTTGGTGGGGTTTTTTTCCCCCTTTGGCATTCTATGTCCCCTTTTCTTTCTCTCCCTGCTTCTAAAGTTGGTTTTCCTTAAATGTGGTCTTAGATTTTATTTAACTCTCACATTTCACACTCTTTCTGTGTAGCTACCTGCATTCATGAGTTCAGGTATCTCATTATGCCACCAGAAGACTACGTCTTCCCCTGAGCTCTAGATTTCCATAAGCAATTGGCTTCTGGAACTTCCACCTGAATGACTTGCAAAAGGTTTATATTCCTTGTTTTCAAGATGAAGCACCACGTTCCCTCCTTGGTCCTCTACTGCAATGATTTTTATTTACACTAATGCATTCCCCAAGATATTTCCTGATCCATGTTTTTCCTCATAACTTCAAAGATGGTGTATCTGCTACTCCAAATATGGTTTCTGGACCAATCATGTCAGCATTATCTAGAAGTGTAATAGAAATGCAAGTTCTTAGATCCCCAAATCTATGAATCTGAATCAGTGATCCCAGGGGTAGGATTTACCAATCTGAGCCTATGCAAGCTTTGCAGGTGATTCTGATGCACATCTAAGTTTGGGGAGCACTGATTTAGAGATCTCTGAGGCCCGGGGCGTGCTTGCCTTTCTGGCCTTATTTACTGCTGGCGACTAAAGTTCTAATCAATAAGCAATAATCCTTTCCTTTTTAAGTCTTTCAGCCTTAAAGTTTCATTAATATACTAATATATTAATACAGTGATATATTATATTAATATAGCAACATTAACTATATATAATAATACAGCAGTATTAGCCTTATCTTGGTTATTATATATCCTATAAATCATCTTACATCAACTTAACTTTTCTGAGTTTACACTGCTTTTATTTTTCTGACAATTTTGTAATTTAACTGGAGACCTTAGTCCCATTGAGTAATAATTGATATTGACATTTTACTCAGGTTTGTTTCACTACCCTATTTTGTGTTTTCTTTTTCTTTTTTGTTTTGTTTTCATGGTGCCTGTTTTTTGTTCTGATTCAGTTCTATAGGCTCACGGATTTTCCCCTCATCTTCCCAATTCCTCCTTCCCCTACTGATTTCCTCTATATGATTACAATAGCATAGTCCTTCAACAACACTGACTTTTCTTTTTTGAATTAAACAACTCTTTTTATCTTCTTAAGATCAGAATTACATACCCTATTTCTTTGTACTTCCTCTTGTTTCAGCAGAAGCCCTGGAAATACTGATATGTATATACAAATTGTAAAGCTAATGAACCCTTTTACCCACTTCTAGGACTGTAGGTCAGGTCCAATCTGACTGCCGCACAGTCACACACTACTGCTGACCAGGATTGTGTGTGCATGTGTGGAGGTCTTATGTTTTATAGTCCATGCCTGTTGGTTTGAAAGGTTTGTTTGCGAAAAGAGAAACAGGTAGAAGATAAGCGCTCCCATCCACTGGTTCACATCTCAAATACCTGCCACGCTAGGGCTGTGCCAGGCCAAAAGCAACACCCAGAAATGAAACACCTCTCGCGCAGGCAGCAGGGGCCAAGCTATCTGGGCCTTCACCTGCTGCTTCCCAGAGGGTGCAATGAGCAGGAAGCTTGAATCTAAACCAGAATGAGGACCACATTTTAGGCACTCTGGCAAGGGACACAGTGTCTTAAACGCCCCGCCATCATTTCCCTACTATATTTATTTAAAACTTTTCTTAAAAATGTGCCGGGTTTTGTTTGGAGTTCTTTTTTCCAACTCAGTTTGTCCTCCTGAAATCATTATTCTCTAATTAACTTAAACTTTCATGTTTCAAAGAAGTTCTGTGGGTTGTACAAATTCACAGTATTTGCTTAAACTTTCTTACTTTGTTTTAATTTTTCAAATTAAATTTTCATTGGATACGTAATTCTAAATTTCCGGATATTTTCTCTCTGCTTTCTGACAATATTTATTGTTGTCTAGTCTTCTTTTCAGTGTTGGAAAATAAGCTCTCACTGGAGCCTGTCCAGTGGCATAGTAAGCTAATCTTCTCACTGCAGTGCCAGCGTCTCAAAGGTGATGGTTTAAGTCCCAACGGTTAGACTTCTGATCCAGCTTTCCTTGCTAAAGGTCTAGGAAAGTAGCGGAGGATGGCACAAGTCCTTGGGTCCTTGCACCCACACAGGAGACTCCGAAGAAGCTCCCTACTCCCAGCTTCAGGTCCACATAGCTCTGCTCATTGTGGCCACTGGGAAAATGAGCCAGCACATGAAAAACTTCTCTCAATCCTTCCCTCTGTAACTGTGACTTTCAAGTATAATAAACATAAAAACAAAATATAAATTGGGCCCAGCATGGTAGCCTAGTGATGAAAATCCTTGCTTTGCATGCCTGGGATCCCATATGAGTGCCAGTTCATATCCTGGCTGCTCCACTTCCCATCCACCTCCCCAATTGTAACCTGGGAAATCAGTGGAGGATGGCTCAAGGCCTTGGGACTCTGCATCCACATGGGAGGCCCAGAAGAAACATCTGGGTCCTGGCTTCAGATCAGCTCAATTTCAGCTGTTGTGGCCACCTGGGGAGTGTAAAAGGTAGACAGAGGATCTTTTTCTGTTTCTCCTTCTCTCTATATATGTATGCCTTTCCAATAAAGATATATATGTGTATGCCTTTCCAATAAAAATATATATGTATTTCTTTTAATTAATTATTAACTAATTAAATTTAGTGGAATTAAAAATAAGTCTTTAAAAAAGCTCTCAATTTAATTAACATTCCTTTGTAGACAATCTGCTTTTCCTCCTTGATTACATTCTTTGGCATTCTGTCTTAAACTTGGATCTCTAGATGTTGTTGGGTTTGTGTTTTGTTTTGTCTGTTTTATGTTTTCCATTATCCAGGAATTTACAAAGATTTCCCTTCATTCCTGAATAAATATGCTTCAAATGAAATCATATTTTGGAAAAAAAAAAGAGCAAAACAACTCTGAGCTTGTTCCCGTTTTCTTCAAGGCAGGTATTTTACGCCTACAGTGACTTGCTGGAACTTATCAAAGCTAGAACTCATTCGTTTGAGAAATAATGGGGACAACCTACTAAAGGTAAGAACTTCTGGGAGATTAATTAAGATCCCTAGACTATAAGCATTGCTTAGTAATGTCTTCTATATGCACTGTAAGATTTTGTGGACACCAGAGTTTGAGAAAACTCAAACTGTCTTGATAAAATAAGATGGCTTTGCAGACTGAACCAGACGTTTGGGCTCTTTAATATTCCTAACATGAGATTCCTAAATCTGAATTCATCTGCCATCACGAGCCTGTCTATTAACCTTTCTTTTTTGAACGTAAACTACTGTCTACTGTGGACAAAAACCTCAAGCTGCAAATCAATAACTTTTCATATCAACTTATTACTTCTTTTTTCCCCAAGTTTCCAAATTGGACCAAGAAAAGAGAAGAAACCACACAAAATCTCTAGAATGGGACCAAATATCTCAGCATGTGTTAAAGGTCTTGTAGTGGTCCTGGTATGTGAATTTTAGAGAAGAATGTACCAAGTCATTTCACTTAGACTTACCCATAGTCCTCTCTAACCACTCTGTTTATGCAACTTGCACACTTGATTCCTTATTATTCCTTTGGTTCTCAGAATTCAGAGAATCAAATTTACTCAAGATTAAAACCACAAAAGGAAGCTCTCCTGTTTCAGTCAGTAACCCAATCCCTCCTTCCAAGAGCATGCTGAATCAGTTCTGCATTCTTGAGTCTATTCTGGCAAACAATACGTCAACAGAGTCTGTTCTTAGTAGCTCTTCTGGGTTGCTTTCTCCTACAGCTATGCCCTAGTTCATTAGAACACACCTAACTTCTGTAGAACTACTCCCAAACCACAATGTATGTTCTTTTCCCTTCTCACCACCAACATATAAATTACAACTCTGTCTTCACTTCTCTTACCTTCATGATAGTATCAGGTAAAGGTACAACCCAAAGAATGTAAGTACTGAATTGTTTGTAAAAGTATGAAGGACTGGATGAGTTTGATTAAGAACTTGAACTGAGTTACTATGTGAAAAAAAATTCAAGCACCTAGATTTTTCACTTCCAATTCTATGATACTTTCCATTTTTCACTATCCTTCACACAGTAAGGCTGACACTAGCTCTACTGAACACTTCAGAAATATTTATCTCAGTACCAGTATAGCAAAAGGATTATCAGACCCAGAGTCACAATGCTAATGACATTCCTCACAGTCACCACACAAGTTGCTCAACCATTCAAGATTAAAATCTTCTAGTATATAAGAGGAACCTGTAGTTCACGAACATTTCCTTCAATCCCAATATTGTACGCCACCACAGACCTCAGAAAGGGAATGGAGGAAAGGACAAAGTGCCCCACCTCTACCTTACCCATTTTCAGCAGCACTAACAATGTATGGCTCTTTAGAGAAGTCTCTTGCCCCTGCCAAACAGGTTACTGAAGCTGAATGACCAAACAGGAGTTCTTTAGCTGATATCTGAAAACAACAAGAATAAAGCTTTTCAGTAAACTCTGAAAAAGAAAAATATCATACTATACAGAATTCATAATTCTAACTAAGGAATTTTTTCATGTGATTTTTCTTTTAGATTTGAGTTTCAGGAAAATGAACATAGGGCATTTCAAAATCAACAGAATATTAAACTTCTAGGCAAAGAAACTATGTTGTACCCAATTTTTATTTATTTTGGCTTTGTATCCATCATAAAACCTAGATGACTGCCAGACTCGCTTTCCAACATCTAAGTTTTGAACATAAATAAATTAGTACTGATATCTGTTAGGCACAAAATGTCCCCAAATGACAGCATATTAAATAAGCAGATAGCATCATTAAAAATCAGCTTACAAAATAATACAAGAGAACACACTGTTCTTTTTTTAACTACTATCTCATTTAGTGTTGACACCCCCAATTGGTACAGACATTGCGGAAAACAGAATGGGGTTTCCTCAAAAATTAAAAAATTGACTAGTATTTGGCTCTGCATATGCATTGTGCATGTGGCCAAAATGAAATCACTATCTTAAAAAGGCAATTGTTGCTCCATGTTTGCTGCATTATTATTCATGACCGACTTGACACGAGGTTATCTATGTGTTTTTGAATGGATACTCTATGGGATAGCTAAGTGTGTGTCGGGGGGGGGGGGAGATACGCATACATGCACAATGAAGTACTATTTATACATTAAAAAAGTACCTACCAATTTGTAACAACACAGATGAACTTGAAAGGCATATTCCTAACTGCAATGAGTCAATCATAGCAAGGCAAATATTGTATAATCTCACCTGCAACGTGGAAATCTTTAAAAGTGGGAGTAGAGACAAACACCAGGGCACAGGCAATTAAACTCCCTTCTGATGGCCTGGGAAAGTAACAGAAGATGGTATCTAGTGTTTCAACATCTTTCGCCCACATAAGAAACCAAGATGGAGTTTCTAACTCCTTGCTTTGAATTTGTCCAGCTCTAGATGTTGCAGCCATTTAGGGAGTAAAGAGCAAAAGTCCTAGAAACAGCGAATTGGATACCAGTAGGGAGATGATGCTAGTTAAAATTCGAGTTATAAATTTTGGGAACTGGGTCAACATGTATACTTCAGATGTGCAAAGATCTTATGTGTGTGTTCTCAGCAGAGTAATTATAACTGTGTGAGTGGTAGATAAGTTAATTACTCTGATTATGGTAATCATTTCTCGATGAATCTATGTCAAGTCATTATGATGTATACCTTAACCATATATAATTATTTTTGTGAACTATACCTCAATAAAACTGAAAAAAGGTTGAGATTTAATTATGCATTGATCAACCACCAATCTACTTACCATGGAAAATGTTTTATGATTCAACTAAATTTCAGTATTGCTTAAAATTTCTAAAATAAAGATGTTCCTGAGTTATAGAAAAAAAATAACAAAATAGAGAAAAGCCATATATTGGGAGAAATATTCACAAAATGTGTATGTGATGAAGAAACTTCTAAGGAGAAGTTGACACGTGCTACAGCAGTTAAGATTCCACTTAGGACGCCCACATCCCATAGTAAGGCACCTTGGTTAAAGTCCTGGATCTACTTCTAACTCCAGTTTCCTGATAAGGTGACTTTTGGAAGACAGGAAGTGATAATTCAAGTAGTGTGTCCTTGCTATTCATATGAGAAACTGAATTGAGTGTTATGGCCTGGCTCAGCCCTGGTGGTTGTTGGAAAATGAGGAGGGAACCAACAGATAGAAGATCTCCAGATGTCTGTTTCTTACAAATAAAATAAATACATATGTCTCAATCACTTTCCATTAAAAAATATTAAGTTTTAAAAATAAAATATGCAAAGAACTAATAAAATTGAACAGTAAAAAAATATCAGACTTTAGCTAATTAAAATATCAAAAATTGAGTACACATTATCACCAAAAAAGATCCATAGACGACAGATGAGCATTTTAAAAAAATACTATACTATGGGGGGGTGTGGAACAATTATAAACCCCCCTGTGATGCCTGCATCATTCCTTGGTACACCTGGTTCTAGCTCAGGCACCCTCACCAGGCAGCTTCTTGTGAATGCATACTGTGGAAGAGAAACGATCCTGGCTCAATTATTTGGCTCTCTGTTACCCGAATGAGAGACCCAGACTGAATTGTGAAGAGTGAATCAGCAGATGTAACATCTCTCTTCTCTGTGTCTCTGCATCTCAAAATAAATAATAAGATAGAAAGATACCCCATGTTATATAACATAGGGGAATGCAAATTAAAATTTTAAAAATCTCTACTATCCTAATTGGAACGCTAAAATCCAGGATATGGATAAATTTTGGAAGTGTGGCAAGGATGTAAAGTAACAGGAACTCAGATATATTGCTTCTGGAAATGCAAAAATGCCACTTCTGGTGTGATTTTGGTAGCTTCTTGCAAAACTAAACATATTCTTATCAAACAATCAAATTGCTGTGGTCACTGCTTTATGTCCATATGAATACAAACTTGTGTCTACACATAAACCTGCACACAAATGTTTATAGCAGATTTACTTATAACTTGATATAATGCAGAAGTAATCAGCATGTCTCTCAGTAGATGAATGCATAAGTAAATTGCAAAATATGAATAGAATGAAATACAGCTTAATACCAATGAGCTATTAAATCATGAAAAGACATGAGGCATTAATGCACATTACAATATGAAAGAAGGCAACAATAAAAAGCTACATGTCATAACCTTCGAAACATATAATATTCTGAAAAAGGCAAAATAATGGAGGTGATTAAAATATCAGTGGTTGTCATGGGTTAAGGGCACATGAAGGACTTTCACAGTAGTGAAACTATTCTGTAAGATACTATTACGGTTAATACATAAAATTACATATTTGTCACAACTCAACATCCAGAATAAACCAATTCTTTTTTTTAAAAGATTTATTTATTTCTATTGAAAGACAGATCTACAGAGAGAAGGAGAGACAGAGAGAAAGATCTTCCATTCATTGGTTCACTCCACAAGTGGTCGCAATGGTCAGAGCTGAGATGACATGAAGCCAGAAGCAAGGATACAAGAGTTTCTTCCAGGTTTCCCATGTGGGTGCAAGATCCCAGGGCTTTGGGCCATCCTCCACTGCTTTCTTATGCAACAGGCAGGGAGCTGAATGGGAAGTGGAGCAGCCAGCACACACACTAGTGCCCATATGGGATCCTGGTGCTTGCAAAGGGGAAGATTATCCAACTGAACCATCGGACCAGGACCAAAATAAAACAATTAGTAGAAACGAAAGAACGTTGCTGATAAGGATGTACAGCTTCTTTGACTGTAACAAACACACCACTTTAGTGCATCTTTCTTAAAAAAGTCTTTGTTTTCAATAGAATTTTTAATAGAATCTTTGTTTAAAAGGATTTTATTTATTTTTGTTATTTTATCTTGTTGTTTTTGTTTTACTATTTTATTTATTATTTGTTTTATTTATTGGAAAGAGAGAAGAAATATAGAGAGAAAAATCTTCCAATTCGCTTGTTCACTGCCCAAGTGGCCACAACAACCTGAGCTGAGCTAATCTGAAGCCAGGAGCCAGGACTTCTTCCAAGTCTCCCACATGGAAGCAGGGTCCCAAGGCTTTGGGCTGTCCTTGACTGCTTTCCCAGGCCACAAGCAGGGAGCTGGATGGAAGTGGAGGAGTTGGGACACAAACCGGTGTCCATATGGGATTCAGTGCTTGCAAGGTGAGGATTTAGCCATTGAACCATTGCAGTGGACCCTCTAGTACAGGTTACTGATGTTCGAATATGTAAGAGCAGAAGCACATGGAACTTCTCTGTGCCTGCCACTCAGCTTTATTGTGAATCTAAAAGTACCTTTAAAAGTGTGTTTCAATTTTAAGTACTCATTTGGCTCCCTACCATACAAAGTAAAAATAACACTTTTATATCAAAAACAAACCTTAACTAAGTGATTGACTATTGAATATACTAGTGTATTTCTCTGGTTAAAAATGTTTTAAAAATCTGACACACCAAGATGTCATTCTACCATTATTTCGTGTGTTAAAGAAATATATTTATCATCATTTTGTAAAGTAGAATATGAAAAAACTGTTAAGTCAGAAAACATATAAAATCTTTTTTTTTAGATTTATTTTTATTATTTTTTCATTGGAAAGGCGGATATACAGAGAGGAGAGACAGAGAGGAAGATCTTCCGTCCAATGATTCACTCCCCAAGTGAGCACAACGGCCGATGCTATGCCGATCCAAAGCCAGGACCCTCTTCCGGGTCTCCCACACGGGTGCAGGGTCCCAAAGCTTTGGGCCGTCCTTGACTGCTTTCCCGGGCCACAGGCAGGGAGCTGGAAGGGAAGCGGGGCTGCTGGGATAGAACCGGCGCCCATATGGGATCCCGGGTGTGCAAGGCGAGGACCTTAACCACTTGTGCCACCGCGCTGGGCCCAACATATAAAATCTTTTCAAACAGAGAAGAAACTCATAATAATAGAACAAATATTTACCTTGAATAACTATAAAATCTTATGAGTGATAAAATCCTATTTTTCAAAGGAGTCAATATCCATTTTTTTTCTAACCTAGGAAAACATATTTATAGATGATAACCCAGGTATACAACAGGAAAAAATTTGTGACATAATTGTCCTCTGCCTTCATAATCATTTCTACCATAATCAAAAGCATTTCTTTACAAAGCCTATTGTCTGACCGAAATTTTACTACTCAAAAGAAAATTCTGTAGTTGATTTTGCAGTTTATTAGAATCCCTTACAATTTAAGTCCTAACACTTTTTACTTAGAATTCCAGAAGGTTCCATCTCAGAAAGTAACATGCCATTCTTCCTATCATTGCACTTACGGCTACATACCCCTGTTGGCTTATTCCCTTTGCGGTCTACTACCACTCAAATTAAGTAACAATCAGCAGAAATCAAGAATATTCCTTCTCTAGTGAAAATCCACTGTAAACA